GGGAAAAATAAATTGACCAAAATACCCCGAAATTTTCGGGGGTATTTTGGTCAAATTTTTTCATTTAAAATATTTTTTTATATTTTTCAAAGATTCCCCTATTTTTTATGAATACACGCTTTAAATTTCAGGTCATTCCGATTTGTAGAAAAAAAATGAAAAATAAAATACTACAGGACAATCATGACCACGTGAGGAATTTTGGACGGTGATGGGGGTAGGCGAAATCACTGTTTATTTTCGCCTATAGGCGTTGCGTAGTGCTTTCCATATATATATATATCCACATATAAGTTAGAATGTCGTATTGGTTAGGTTTTATGGTCCTTTCTAAAAGTAAGGTCCAAGGTTCAAATCCCTTCATCCCCCTTATTTTATTAGGCTTAAAACCTATATGTTATGTGTTCTATTTTATGTTACATTCAATATTATATACCATTAATAAAAAAGATGTAAACAGTAGGGTTTGAACCCACAATGTTAGGAATAATTTCGGAAGTGTTAGCCACAAGTTTTGTAAAATCTTTTTGAAGAAAATTTTCTATAATATATTATATATTCAATAAAATTGCCATTCCAGCTCAAAAGCTGGAATGGTCTTGAGTGATTCCCAATCCAGATCATTGAATTTTTAGTCGTCGGTAAAAACCTGCTAGTCCACATAGGTTCAACGTGTCTAAAGTGGCTGGATCAGACTGGATTTTTATCAAATATTCCCCAGTTCGATACCAACAGGTGTGGGCACCGATTCCCGGTCGGAACTAGCCTGTCTGGTCTGGTGATATTGAAGTATTATTCTCAAAACTCTAGTGTTTGGAAGCCCAGATTTGCATGTTGAACCGGCCTTCAAGAAACGTGGTCGAGATTGGCGATTCACCGAGCTAGATCATCTAATCGAACCGATTCTCTCATTGCGAGAATTGGTCCTCAAGAATTAAAAAATGAAAAAGGGAAAATGTGTGGGAACTGGGAGATCAGGCCGACCCCTAATCGCGCGATTCCCAGATAGAAACCGAGCGAGTCTGTTGGAAGCGAACCAATTCCTTGTTCCAACAAGGAACCGGGTCGTTGTGGTCCAATTGCTAGTCCAAATTGGCACTTCCCGATCTGGAACGGGCTTTAAAACAATGACTCAAGCTGATGACATTGAAAACACCTATAAACACCAAGGCAATGGTCTATCTAACTCCTCCATCTCAGGTTTGGTGTGTTAGGATCATAGACCAAGGAAAACTTCCAATCCAATTGTCTAACAAATGACTGAAGCCTAGGGAAACTGAGTATGAACCATAGCTGGTCCGCAACTTGATGGAGGAGAGGTTTGGGACATCCTGCCCCAAACCTTTTGGATGTATAGTAAGGTTGAAATTTCATGCTTAGTTTCTGAGGTTGACAGAATGTTGGGGTCATGACTTTTGTGATCAACCCAACGATGCTGACTTAGGGAGGAGGGTGGGAAAAAGGTTGATGCCTTAGGGAGCGACGTAGGAGCTAGAAGGCAAAGAGGAGACCTCAGCCTTCTCATATATTATATTGCACGAGTGGCTGCAGAGCTCTCGCTAATTACTACTACTAATTCTAAGTTTAATTCCTTTTATAAGTGTTACCAATCTCGTTTGTTGGGCCTTCGAAGGAGAAGATCTACATCACCTGCTCATTCCACCCTCTCAATGTGATCAATCTCTTCTAAGTTCACAGAGTAACAGGACTCAAGAGTTACTCCCCAGCGCATCTCCATCTTCTTGAGCTTTGTCCCCCATTCATTCCCACGGGCCAGGGAAACTCTGTGCTCTCTGCAGGGGGGGAAGGGGGAGCAAGAGAAAAAAAGGTGATATTTGAGGGGTTCACCTTGTCGATATCATCTCGACTGTAGAATTGGAAGGCAGAGATTGTCCGAGTTGATCCTTATGTTAGCCAGCCCACGTATTCTTTTCTGGTCCACGAATGTCAGGCAAGGTGACCAGTGCTTGGTCCATCATCATCTGGTGTGTGGCCATAGGATGTGCTGCTTGGACAAGGCTGAGGCTAAAATTTGGGGGGCATCCTAAGCATCAATTGTTGGGGGTGCGCATCTGGACATATCTTGATCATTGGCAGTTGAGGAAGTGGCTGAGATATTTTGCATTGTGGCAGAGCTGGAAGCACATTGGTGTCAGCTGCTACACCATGAGCCAGACCAATGTGGCAAGATTTCCCCCGTCTGATTCGGTGAAATGTCTTGGTACAGTGATAAGATCTACTTGTATACGATGTTATTTCAATAAAACATATCTCCCAACAAATAAATAAAAGAAATTGAAAAGCATCTTAACCAAAACGATGCTAAAGGGGCTTCCTATTTTTAAACCATGGTAAATTATATCATCTCTGAAATGTTCATAAAGGTGAACTTTATACTTGTCCCAATCTGTAATAAGATACACTGCTCCAATGCATGAAGATGATAAGTTATTAAAGATGGCTGCAGTTGCTAAAGTTGATGTCGCTATACTTCAATTTCATAGTTACATGCTCATTATGTTGAGCTTGTTGGTATCTAAATTTGGATTATTAGGTTTCAGCCTAATCTGGTTGTTGTTTTCTTCTGAACCAATTAGCTTGATGCTAATATTTTATTGATTCTGATCATTCGCAGGAAAGGAAAATCCTTGGTTGGCATTGTCTCAAAATCTTCTGTATGCATCGGCAGATCATTCATTTATTGAGTTGCATACAACTGCAATGTTCTGTCTCCCTTCTGGGGATTGCATGCTTCCAGATGCTACCTCATGCACTACATTGACAAGTGCCTTGTACTCGACAGTCAATGAGGACGTAATTCGTGAACGTAGGTTGATGGTATGCTAACTCTATTCTTTCTGATATTTTCTTCATCAGGAAATTCAATTATCCAGTACAAGAATAGAACGTTGTAGGTTCTTTAAGCCATAGAGTGCACCGCCAGTTTTACCTGAAGCTTCTTTATGGTTGTAATTTGTAAAGAGTTCCCTAACCCCAACCCTCCCCAATTTGGTTCTGAATTTGAGCTATATTTTTGGGACATCAATTACATCAGTTTCAATAAATTTTGTACTCTAGGAAAAGTATTCTATTTTCTGGAGGTGACATGTTTGAATAGGTCCAACTATTGTTCACTCTGGGAAAGGTGCTGTTATATTGCATAACCAAAGTTATATGGATATTCTAGTATGAGCAGGATTTGTAGCCACATCACAATTAATGAACTGATTGATTACCATTGTGCCATTGAGCAGGTCAATGTCTCCATTCCTGCAAATGATCAGACTTGCATTAAGGTGGTAATTAACTGTTTGGCAGTGGAAGGTGATGGCCTTGGACTGCATGAAAGCAATGATGGGGGCCTTCTTGCTGCTGTTATGGCAGCTGGATTTAAAGGTACTTGGAAATGCAGTTATATTTTTTATAGTGGAGGGTTTGCCACAATACAAAAGATATGGGGTTCGATCCCATAGTTCAATTGCAACGTGCTTTTCATTGCAACATCGAAATTTTGGGTTTGAACCCAATTTCGTATTAAATGAGGAAATCTCTGCCTCTCTCTCTCTCTCTCTCTCTCTCTCTCTCACACACACACACACACACACACACACACACTATAGTAGTTAGTTAGTTAGTAGTACGTATCGTACTACTACTACGTACGTAACGTAACGTACGTACGTACGTACGTACGTACGTACGTACGTA